CGGCAGGAGAAGCTACGTGGTGAGAGGCATGGCCTTCTCCCCGGACTCCACCAAGATCGCCATCGGCCAGACGGACAACATCGTCTACGTGTACAGGATCGGCGAGGAGTGGTGAGTCTGCTGGGGGCTGTCCCTGGGGAGGGGGCTGCTCTCCCCTTCCTGCCTGCAGCCTGCTTCCCTGGAATCGTTCTGGTTGGGGAAAACAATTAAGGTCATCAGGTCCCACCGTGCACTCAGCGCTGCCAAGGCCACCGCTAAACCGTGGCCCTCAGCACCACAGCTGAACAGCTTTGAAATCCCTGATGTTGACTTAACTTTCCAGGCGCTGATGCTGTGCTTGACAGTGTCCTGCCCTGCTCCTCAGCCTGCTGGGCATCATCTCACCTGCAGGGGGTGTCTCAGGTTTTTCTGTGGTAAACAAGCAGGGTTCCCTCCAGCACAGCCCCTGTGGAGCCCGGTGCAAGCTGTGCCAGCTGAGATCCTGTGGAGCTGTAGCTCCTGTGCTGCTGTCCCCTCTTGCATATGTGTGGAACTCTGGCACAACACATGCCAGCACGTGAGGATGAAGTGAGGCAGGTCTGTCTCAGAGGTGCAGGTCACCAGAATTTTGAAAGTTGGGGGTCTTTTTAATTTTCTGCCTAAAGTTGGCTTGTGATAGACAACCAGTGTACAAAACTGAAATGGCCTGTGTTTGGCAATGCTAAGACCGACTGAATATAAGCAGTAGGGTAACCAGAATGGGCAGTATTAGTACCTTAGCTGATAGTAATTTTTGTCTACCTTTTTCTGCAGGGGTGACAAGAAAGTGATATGCAACAAGTTCATCCAAACGGTGAGACTCAGACTCCTGTTTAACTCCCTTTTCTCCAACATAGGTAGGATAAAGACAATTGGAGGTCTCTGCTCATAGTAGAGGTGTACTTGGCCAGACTGTCAGTAGTGGTACTTGATCTTCAAAATGTGCAGTTAGATCCTAAGATAATCTCTCAAATTTGAGGCTGCTCTCACTGTTCCTGGCATGCTGCTTGCCTGCTGGCAGGACTGAGCTCCCTGCCCTCTGCCTCTCTGCTGCAGCACCTGGCTGCAGCCTGGCTGGGGGCTGCTGGCCTCTCACAGGCTTAGGTGCTGTGCACAATGTGCCTGCAGGTTTTTGTATTTTTAACGTAGTGCTTCTTTTATCTTTTTATCCTCTCATATTCCCCATGCCTTTTCTACCATTTTTGTCATAATCAATTATTTATTTTTTCTAATGCTATTTGTGTGGTTTTTTACCACTGTGTCAAGTTTTCTCCTGTAACTAAATATTGTCATTTACAAATTTCTGGTGTGTTCAGTCAATACAAGAGATCACTTATCATGCCCTTTCCCTCTTCTGCTATTGGCAAAACCTGCTGAGCAGTCTTACACAGTGTGAGAGTACAGTGACACTGTTCAGCTCTGCTGGCAAACCAGGCATCCTGCTAGAGGGTCAGGATGAGTATGTGCAGGTTTAACCTCTTTGCACTAGTAGCTGAGCACATTACCACTTTGTGGTGCTCATTTCCAAGCTACCACTGGGCTGCTTCTGATTGCCTTAGACTGAAAATAAGGGTATGGCAGATAATGAGGGAAATACACAAATGTCTGGGAAACAGGTAAAATAAAAAATGGGGTTTGGTCATTGGTTGGACATACGAGCAGCTTAAGTATCCAGGTACATTTTGGTATCTGATTGTAGCTGTGAATGGTCAGAGTAGGGGATAGAAGATGAGATGTGTAAAGGAGGGTGTATATATGTCTAAAGCAGGTCCACATGCTTAAAATGGCACAGATGAGACAGTGAGGTCAGTGTGGCAAACACTAGCCTTTATGTTGACTGAAATTCTTCCGCTTACATGTGAAGTGGTTCTGTTGACTCTCTTGGCTCTTACAGTTGAGTTATGTTGTCAGCTTTATTCATCCTGACCCCGCCTCAAATTTTGAGGAGACCTTTGGTTTGGATTTAACAAACATTTTTCTACCTGACCTACTTCATAGCAGCTGATAACCATCTGGCTTGTAAATAAAAAATTAAAGACTGTTTCTGATTCAACAAATGAAAATCCAATGTACAAATATGCTCATATCTATTAGAGAAGCTGACAGAGTCAAATTATTTTTATTTTATACTCATTGTTGCAAAAAATCTTTTAAAATAGCCATGATTTTGTACATTCAACAATAGCATATGGAAAACCACACACCTGATCAATAAGTGGCTCTCTCAGAAGAGCATCCATACTGAACACATCCAGCATAACTTTGTTGCCCTGCTTTAGCCCTTCTGACCTTATTACTTTGCCCCAGCTTGCTATTCTGCAGTTTAAGCTTCAGCATGGGGGGGCCTCAATCCTCCTTTACCATCTGTCCAAATGTCCCCATCTCTTCTCTTTCTCGTTCTGACTGGTCTTACTGTT